TGACCACAGTTCTAGAGCAGCTGAAACCCCATTTAGGAGAAGATACTTGGGAATATTGGGAATCCACAAAGGCTGAATTAGAGAAAGCTCACAATATGAAGAGTTATTTTGGCAACAAAAGGCAAAGGTGCAATGGCTAAAGGCTGGTGACAGCAACACAAGATGTTTTCATGCCTACACTCTTCAGAGAAGAAGGCAAAATGCTATCACAAGACTTTTGACAAGCCAAAATGGGATCTGCTCAACACCTAAGAAAATTCAAGATCACATTGCCAACTTCTACTCAACTCTCTTCTCTTCAGAGGGCTCATGGGGAGGGGATACTATGCTCCACTTCATTTCTCCCACAATCACACCATACATGAATCAAATGCTTCTCAAACCAATGCTGGAAGAAGAAATTCATGATGCTCTGTTCAGCCTTGATCCAGATAAAACCTCGGGCGAAGATGATGACTCGGGCGAAGATGATGACTCACTATTTTTCTGTAAAGCAACTGTGGAGCAGGCTGGCTTTCTTCTCAACTTACTGAAAAATATAGACTGTTCACAAGGGAAACTGTTAATCTCCAAAAATCAGCTATATTTTTCAGTAAGAATTCTCCAGCAACCTTATAAACCAACGTCTGTGTGCTACTCTACATGGAATTTCTGCCCACAGGTCAATAAGATACTTAGGGCTCCCACTTGGCATTGAAAGATCTAAAACTGAAGCATTTCAGTATGTGGTGGATTCAGTGAAATCAAAGATCATGAACTGGAAGTCCAAGTTGTTATCTCCAACTGAAAAAGAAGTTCTAATTAAATCTGTTCTCCAAGCTTTACCCTTGTTTTCTATGTCATGCTTCAGGCTTCCCTCTACACTTTGCTCTTCTATTTCTAAACTTTGTGCAGATTCTGGTGGAGCAAATGAGACCAACAGGCCCAAGGACTCCATTAGAAATCTTGGTCTTCTCTATCTCTGCCAAAGGACAGTGGAGGCTTGGGCTTTCTTGATATTAGGAACTTTAATACTGCTCTGGTATGCAAATAACTATGGAGAGTTTACACTCAGCCCAACATACTAGTGAACAGAATTCTAAAAGATAGATACTTTCCACATTGCTCTTTGTTTGAAGCTAAAAAGCCATCTAACTGTTCTTGGATTTGGTCTAACTAGCTGGAAGTTCTTCCTATTTTTGCCAAAGGTGTAACAGTGGAAATCAGATCATGGGTCAACATAAGATTGGCTGATGTAAACTGGGTTCCAAACTTTAATAAGCCTAAACCCACTCTTTTTGAAATTGCTAGAGACCATATCACATGGGTTCAAGAACTGCTCAATGACACAGTTTCAGGCTGGAACACTTGGCTTGTTTCCCAACTCTTTGATGAAGAGGATAAGCAGACTATTCTGAAAATCTCAACACTTAGGCCCGGCAGTGAGGACAGAAAATACTGGTCTCTTAACAAAAGAGGATTATTTTCAGTCTCCAGCACCTATGCATACTTGACAAAGCAAAAGTTTCTCTCCCTTGATGTTCCTTGCAGCAACCACTTTTCAGGTTCTAAACTGCCCATTTTTTAAAGATGCTGGAAGCTTCAGGTGCAAGGCAAGCTCAAGCACTTCATCTGGAAGTGCTTGACTGGAACTTTACCTGTTAAATACAATCTGAGGAAGAAAGGATTGGACTTAGATGTTATGTGTGAATGCTGTGGTTTGGCCCCTGAAACAATTGAGCATGTTTTGTTCAAATGTGAAAAGGCTATCAGACTTTGAGATGTTTCTCCTGTCTCATGGGATGGACTGCAGCCTTACACAAACAACTTCAGATGTTGGTGGTCTCAGCTGTGTGCATTGAAGAAAACTGCAACTTCCATAGCCAGAATCAACCTCACCACCTACATGCTTTGGTGGTTATGGAAGTGCATGAATCTCTAGATCTTTTAGAATACCAAACTGCCTACTCACTTGCTTGTCAAACTAGCCCACAAAGACTGGATGATGTTTACTCAGCTTCAGGATTAGTTTATTTGCTCTGTTTGCTTGGTTTAGTTTGTGTTCAATTTCTGTATTGTAATTGGTTTTAAGACTGTGACCATTCTAGGCTTTTGCAGTGGAAGGTCAGTGTAGTTTCATTTCTCTTTGTTGTTGAGGTTCTAGGCTGCAATGATGCGTGTCCTCTCAGTTTTTAGTTTCGGTTGTCCTTAGTTGTATTTGAACTTTCTGATTTGAGTTAATACATATCTCTATCGTTTTGGAAAAAAAAAAAATTTCAAACTAGTAAATAGATTTTTTTTAAGGATATAGTTACTATTTAAAAAATAATAAACCTTTTTATATATATATAAATATAGACGGCATAGCAACTAGATTATTCCATTAAGATTAGTTTTGATTCCACTTTTTACACCTTATTACAAGTTCAATTTTGGGTTTCTTTCGTTTTTTCTTTTTTAATATTTTGTTTATATTAAATAAAATTTTTTGACCCTTGGAACGATTTTTGAAAAAAAAAAAAATTGCGTGTGTTGTTTCGGTTTCTTCTATCAATCAACCTCTTTCCATCTTTTTTTTTTCCTATTTTTTATTTATTCGTTTTTTCGGCAGATTATTTTTTCTCATTTGTTTTTCAATTGTAATGGCAAGAACAAGATCTTCAATGAGCAAAGATGGTTCCGTTTAAAAATCGTAAATCTTCTTTGATTGTGGTTCACCGCCTCCGTGCAACAAGGTCGTTTCTGAAATCCACGGACAAGTGTTTTCCGACTGTCGTGCGGCGATTCGGGGTTGTTGCACAAGTTTCTGACTGATGTCCGGCGACCCCAAATTTTGTGTTTGTTTACTGTTCATATCCGAAATAAATTCCCGTGGGAGAAAATTTCAGGCCTGCGCAACGGAAGAACCACCAATTCTTCCAGAACCTCTTTCACGTCTTCAAGGGCACCGACATCGTTAAACTCGAATTCAATCTCGTCGGGGCTAACGAGACCCAAAACACATGATCTCTCATAAGAATTCGTAGCAAGAATCTTCAGACAACTCATGTTCGTTCCTTCTCCACCACCATACTGATTGTTCCCATCTTCCAGTTCCTTCAGGATAGTAAAATAATAGGAAACTGAAAGTCCCACCTTGGCTTTTGAGTGAATGAAATCTTTCAGCTTCAGTGGCCTCAACTTCAGAACAACATCAACTGGATCACAAACAAGTCCCTTGGCGTTCTCCTTCAAGGAGTTCTTGGACATGTATAGAATTATCAGTAGCTTTCACTATAGAACCAGTAGATTCGGAAGTTTGGGTTGCATTCGAAGCCAAAAAGTCCTCCTCTTCCTCCAGCTCAGGAGGCTCCTCATCGAATATTGGCGGACCGTCATAGATATCGCACCTGTTGGGCTCGAAATACGGGGTATCGTTGAAACCCCTGGCTAAATCCCATCAACTGTCGTCAACCACCTTAGCACCCCAATACCCAAAGCGGTTGCCGAAGTCGTCACAGACGCCATGGCCACGTCGGATAGGAGGTCCTTTGCAGCCCTCGAAATCCACGCCCTAGTGAGGTTCATCGCGGTCCCGGGCCCCATCAGAATCCTCAGCCGCGCGTTGCTCCTCGCGCCGGATATCGCATCTAGGGCATCGCGCATCCCTCCGCTTGGGTGCTGTTGGACGGAAAATCCCTGGTCGTCAACCTCCTCCACTGCACGTCAATTGGGCGACAAAGGGTAGGCAAAACCCTCATCTTGTCATCGCTGGTTGCGATTTCCGACGTCTTCATCATGGTGGGCTGCGTGGCCAAAACCCCCAGCGAACGGGTTTGCCTCCGACCACGTGCTCTCGCCGTCATATGTGCCGTTTAGAGGCGACGGGGACTGCTGCTTGGGAACCCTGACATAACCGCGTCCTCCATGTCCACCTATGGCTTCCCCGCGACTGCCACAACCCCCTAGACCCATCGCGGTTTGTATGCAATTCCCGGACCATGGTGTTGAGCGTCAAATGCAAATCATTGATCACCGTCGAAAGATCCGCAAACCGATGTCTTAAACGGTCAATCATCTGCTGAAACCGGTCATTAATATGTTTAAACGGGTCGTTGAAGGCTGCATCACGTGGATCGTTTGCTGCATCTTGTCGTCGCGGAGGCATCGCTAATTGTACTGACTGCTGATACTAATTGATGTACGGAAGTGTACGAGTGAGAAGGAAAAATGAAATTTCAGTCTCAGAACACAATAAAACAATCAATTTTCTTATTTTCAACTTCAACTGAGGAAAATAAACTAGAGGGGGTCCTTTATATAAGACACATAAACTCTAGACCTAACTTGTTCACGAAGACTATAAATAATAAATAATTATTATATGCTATAAAAGATACTAATAAATATTCTGATACTCCATCTACACCAATAACTCTCTCGTGCACCGCAGGGTTTCGTACTCATATAATTCTAAATCAGTTAGCGCTTATTGCCATGCTGAGCAAAAGATTTTTGGTGGATAAGTTGCTCAATTGCCTACAAAAATTATTTGATTTCACTTGATCGGATAATTTTTTTACACTAATTAACTCAAAATTCAACTCAAATTTAATTCAACTCAACTCTGCTCATTATTATCAATATAATTAAATAATATCAATCCGCACACGTCACATCAACTTTAATTCACTGTTAATCCACTCACATATTTATATTTTTAAGTACATATCACTTTCAACAATATCTCTCTTATTTTTGCACCACATCAACTTTAATAATTATATTTTAAATATTATTTAAATACAATCTCAAATTAACTCTCAATCCTACACAAAATAAACTTTATTCAAAATTAACTCAAATAATATATCTCTTGTTTTTACACCATATCAACTTTACTTATTGTATTTTAAATATTATTTTAATATAAATTTAAATTAACTCTCAATCTATTCTCTATCAACTCTATTCAAAATTAATCGGTTTTATTTATAGATTTTGAACAGATGGGTTTAACCCTATTGAATACCGCGGCCCAGCAAAAGCCCAAGCCACATAAATATGAGATTATTATTTCAATTTCTTAATTTATTTCTTCATTTTTCTCCCAAAGCGAAATATAAATGAGTGTTGTACTTGCTGAAATCAACACTCGTTTCTCAAACCCTGTCGTCCACTCTCTCTCTCTAAAAAAGCAAAGAAAATTCCCAATCGCCGTCCCTTCTCTCTAGAAAAGAAAAAAAATTCAAAATCCCTCCTGCACAAATCTGAATGGCGTCCCCACGCGAGGAGAACGTGTACATGGCCAAGCTGGCGGAGCAGGCGGAGCGATACGAGGAGATGGTGGAGTTCATGGAGAAGGTCGTCGGCGCCGTTGACGGCGACGAGCTCTCCGTGGAGGAGCGCAACCTCCTCTCCGTCGCCTACAAGAACGTCATAGGCGCCCGCCGCGCCTCCTGGAGGATCATCTCCTCCATCGAGCAGAAGGAGGAGAGCCGCGGTAACGAGAGCCACGTGTCCGCCATCAAGGGTTACAGATCCAAGATCGAGTCGGAGCTCACCAACATCTGCGACGGCATCCTCAGGCTCCTCGACACCAAACTCATTGGATCTGCCTCCAGCGGCGACTCCAAGGTCTTCTACCTGAAGATGAAGGGCGACTATCATCGTTACCTGGCGGAGTTCAAGACCGGAGCCGAGAGGAAGGAGGCTGCCGAGAATACCCTCTCCGCCTACAAGGCTGCTCAGGTTTGATTTATGTCTTTCGATATTATTTGTGCTGATTTATTCACTTGTCTTTTTCTATTTTCGTATTAGTTGCTATTTTTTATATGATTCCTAATTTTCGGATCTATGTAGGGTATATGCTGCTGGGGATTAGGTTTATGGATCTGGAAAACATTTTATATTGTTTATTGTTTGGAGTTTGAGTTAATTACTGTACGAATTCTACTGTCATGTTCTTTTGTACCTGATAAGTTTCTCCGGCGAAATTGATGCCATTTTCTGGTGAAATTGCCTAGATTTGGTTTCTGTTGTATGATCTGGTAATCATTTCCCAGCTGCTTTTGAGTTCATTCGTGATGTGATATGCAGCTTCTATCTGTATTGATGCAATTGATTTGGTAATATGACTCGGGCTTGAGTGTCTTCTTATATGTATACTTGCTTGTTAGTTCTATAGGCTAAATCACAATTGTTTTAATATCTGAAGTGAACATCGATCTTATTGCTTGCTTTAGTGTTAAATGTGATGTGACTTCTTTAGCTTTATCAGCTTAATGTTTAATGTTCTCTAGTAATGGCTATCAGTTATCAGTTAATAATATCTTGGTCGTGTACCAACACTGGCTTCTCTGATTCAGTAATTCTTGATCAATTCATAACTTACTGATTCAATTTGTTTTCGGCATCTGCAGGACATTGCTAATGCTGAGCTGGCACCAACTCATCCTATCCGACTTGGCCTGGCTCTTAACTTCTCTGTTTTCTACTACGAGATCTTGAATTCTCCCGACCGTGCATGCAATCTTGCGAAGCAGGTATGTTGGCCATTCCATCAACATTTGTTTAGTTTGAAATATGTTCTAATTAAGAATCCGCTTATGTTAGCATTAATTAATTATCAAATTTGGCCTATAACAACAGTTATTGGGAACTTTGTTGGTTATTGGTTGGGTCTAATGTGTACTTGTGACTTAAAAAGGCTTTTGACGAGGCAATTGCTGAGCTCGATACTCTTGGAGAGGAATCTTACAAGGACAGCACTCTCATCATGCAGCTCCTCCGTGATAACCTCACCTTGTGGACTTCCGACATGCAGGTATAAAATATGCTCGTTTATATACATATTTTTGTACATACAAATAAATGTAGTTTGTCTATTGAGTGCGTCTGGCACTGGATTTAATATGTATATTGACATTTTTTGTTCATTTATGTGCAGGATGATGCTTCTGAGGAGATCAAAGAAGCACCAAAGCCGGACAACGAGTAGTTGAGTTTTGTGCTTTTTAGGATTTGGGTGTTTTTTTTTTCCCCTGCTTGCTTTCTTCTTTATAGTAATTCGGCCTTTTTATTTCTCGAATCAAGAATTGCTGCTTGCAGCATGTAGTTACGATTATTAGCTTCTACTTATCTTTGGGCGACCTCTGATGTTAGATGTCTTTTCATTCACCAGTCGTTAATTTTGATTTTTCATCCTTTTATCTACCTCTTTGAAGACTGATTGATTTATGCCATGAATTTAGGTATAATATATACTAGTACAATACCCGTGTAATACACGGGTGTTGAATTAGAAAACTTTTATAAAAAATATTAAATTTTTTATTTTTTTAAAAAACTAAAATAATTTAATTTTATATAAAACATTACTTTGGGTTTTAATTAAATTGTCAAGTTATATTTTTTTTAATCATAATAATTAAATACCCGTACATTAAATGAAAATGTCAACCCGTGTTTAATTTTTTTTCCTTATATCATATAAAAGTCTCGATATTATTGACTATTACAAAGTACTACAAAAATATATAGCTTAAATAAATAGAAATAATATGGTGATATGTATATGCATAAGTGTAAAATATGTTTAATTAATATTAAGCAAAATGGATTATTTTTTTACTTAATTAGATGTCTAATCCATCAAGTGTCATATCAGTCGTGCTTCACAGTTTTTTAACTTTATATGTAATTTAGAATTTAGATAAAAAATTATTTATTTTTATTAGATTGACAACATACCAATTAGATTTGAAATAAATATCATTTTTAAAAGAATACATATCAATTTCTATTACTTTATAATATAATTTATAGTTTTATTCGATATAATTTAATTTAGTTTGATAAATAAATTTAAATTTTATTTATAAGGATATATATTACTGTTTTGTATTTTATATGTATAATATGGTGTCAAATCGAAAATCGTTAAAAGATAGTTAATTTGATATATCATATATGAAAAATAAAATACAAACAAAAAAGTTATAAGATCTTAAAATAAGAAGAAGAAATATTTATTAAAACTAATGAATAAATTATATAAGAAAATGAAAAAAATATTAATTTATATCCAAGCCTAACTCCAAAGCATGGTTTTTTGTCAAATAGGATTCCGAAGCATGAGAATTTGCCACGTAGGCTCAGCACATTCTGAAATTATATATAGAGGGGATATATATTAGAATTTATTTAAATGAAAATGAAAAATAAAATATTTAATATAGAGTAAGCATGGTTTTTTGCCAAATAGGATTCCGAAGCATGAGAATTTGCCACGTAGGCTCAGCACATTCTGAAATTATATATAGAGGGGATGCTTATTATCTTTGCAGTACGTGGTCCTTTGGGTTGATCTAAATATTATGCTGGCATACATTTTTTCTAGTGTTCTAAAATCGGGCTAGGTTGTGCCGCGGACATCTAGGTGTGCTCTTCTAGGTGCTCGTGCAATTAGGCGATGCCTAGGTGATCTAGGTGGTTGTAAAGTCGGCTCGTATCATTATTATTATTATTATTTTTTATATAGTACTCCCTCCTATTTTAAATATTTGTCATCTTGGCTATCAACACACTAATTAAAAAATATTTTTCTTTCCAAGTTTAACCCTATTTAATGACATAATTGTGAATGGATGTTCTTGGGAATATGAAGAGACAATGGGTATTTATGGAGGGGTTAAAAGGGAAAAATATGAATAAAATAGTCAAAACGACATTTATTTAACAAATGATCAATTAAACTAGAATGACATATTAAAAATAAGAGAGTATAAATATATCTTGATTTTTGTGTATTTCATGTACTATAATTATATAAAAAAATAATCATGTAAAATTCTTATAATTTGTAATATTGTTGAAAATATTTGTATTTAACTATATCAATTACTATATTTAAAAATTATATTTTGCAAATGGTAAATATAAATATTTTTTGTTTTATATTTTAATGATCTTGATTAGACTATGTCCAATCATTACTTAGGTGTGAGGTCAGCCTTGCATAGTGGTTTTGCATTTAAAATGTTCTGAGTTCATTCAAAAAATGTAGGAAATAGATTCAGTCTAGAAAATGTATACTTCAATGCAAGTGCAAGTGTAAAAATCATTCACAGTATTTTGAGTTTATTCCAAAAAAATATATGGGCCAGACCACGTATGATTTCATACGCAGTCTAGAAAAATATAAGTGCAGGCGAATTAAGTTCTACTGATGTGGAAGCAAGAAAAAGAGATCTCGTCTACCTTTAAGTCTATTTTAGAACCAAGTAGAGACATATTTTCTTTACATTGGAGTTAATTTCGTAGTTTTTACATATTTCTGTCCATGTCATCAAAGAATTAGGTCTATTTACATGTCACGTAAGCAAAATTAGACACAAAGCATTGTATATTGATTTTTCACAACTATGCATATTTTTATTGTTAAAAAATATCATATTTGTAATAATAGTAAAACATGTACACCAAGAAATGGTGTTTGAAGATGTTTTTAGAGATAAAAATCAGAGTTTGGAAATTGTTTTGAAGTTTCACTCTTAGTCAATTTCATAAATAAGAAACCGATCTACCAAATGTACAAATAATCATATTTTATAGTGGAATGGTCAACTTCCCAACTTTAAAATGCCAGCTTAAGACATGCTAGATCTGTTGAAGAGTGGTTAGTTTTCCATAATTAACTTTGTGTGGAAAAAGTGCCAGCTGAGCTGACCATCTTTATTTCTTTAAATTATGATATGTATACTGAGCATTTGTTCACGACAGATGGATAAAGTTGGCATCTTTTCCTTTATTGATACTTTACAGTTGTATTTAGGGTAGACAGTCCCCTGTGTTGGTACTGTGCCACTTTAAAAGCCCTATGGAGCATTTGGTTGAAAGTAGCTGTTTATTGATTGCATTTGGCTATTTTGGTTGTTGGTTGTTAATTTGTTATTGTTTGATTTATGGAAATGGAGCTCATTCAAATGAGACTGGAGCCGTAGTTGAAAACCGTATCGATTTTTAAAAGCTTATTTGAAAGTTGAAACAAAATGTTGTTCGCTTTCGGTTTGACCAAGTTCTGTTTGAGGTCAGTTGGCTTTAATTATCAAAGAAAAACATAATTTCATTGAGGTGATATTATATAGATCACATTCTGATATAGGTAAGCGTACGAGTGAGACGATGAGGTGATATTATATAGATCATATTCTGATGTAGGGAAGCATACGAGTAGGACGATATTAATGAGATCACAATCTCAAAAACACCAAATCAATATATCAATTCATATTTTTACTCAAAATCAACTAACTAAAACAATAGATAGGGAGTCCTTCAAATAAGACTTCTAAACCTTATTCCTAACTTGTCCAACAAGACAAGATCTTTTATAATAATATTTAATTCCTAACTTATTCTCCAAGATACCTATTAAATAATAATAATAATAATAATAATAATAATAGATACTAATCTACACCATTCTCTCCCGGTTCGGAAGGTTTCGCCCTCGAAGCTGATGCGCTCCCCTGGCCGGCGTGTGGTGTCAAACTCATGGTAGGAACCATTGTCATTTCCCCCGGTCGAACACGAAGGATGAATGTTGTCCAACAATTCCGATGCTAAACATAATCATGGGCAAGGATTGATTTGCTGCAAAGGCACATATACACGCCTCCGTATGCATAATCCACACAGCAGAATTAACACCAAACATACAACATCGTTCACTGCACTCAAATCCATAACTATGACCAAGCATCCCGTTGTTGAGAGATTTCGGGATAGACAATCGAAAAATAGCCCACCAGTTATTGAGCATCGGCTTCAGCTCCGAAAAACCATCTTTGGCCAAGATACACCAAAAATCGAGTTTGAACGACGGCATCCCCGTCAAAGGCTCAACTTCTGCGATGTCCCAAGCGGGACCCATATTGCCGCAAAGATATGTCTCCGTCACCAGAGGCTCCTCATTGAATATAGGCGGACCGTCGTACAATAGCCCGTCATCTTTCTCAAAAATCGTTCTCTGTTGCTGCACATCTTGGTCGTCGTGCGCAGCAACGAGCTCAATCTCGACGGGCGGAAGCGGCCACTCTCCGAAGGGATCCACCTCCGATATGGTCTTCTCACCGTCTGCGTCGTCGGGCGGCGGTTGTGGAGATCGTCGACGGGGCGCCCCGCTCGGACCACGATCTCCACTTCCTCCCTGAACTCTCCCGCGCACACCCCGGTCGCCGGCGGCACGGTTCATCTGCAAATCCCAGACCACATTATTAAGCGTCAAACGCAAATCCTCGATCCCCATCGAAAGATCGACAAAGCAATCCGTGAAACGCACGTCCAAATGTTGAAATCAGTAGTCGATCTGTTGAAACCAATCGTTGAAGGTTGCGTCACTTCGTTCTTTTGCGACATCTTTTCGGCCCGGCGGCATCGCGAATCATACTGACTGCTGATACCAACTGATGTAGGGAAGCGTACGGGTGAGACAATATTAATGAGATCACAATCTCAAGAACACCAAATCAATATATCAATTCATATTTTTATTAAAAATCAACCAACTAAAACAATAGGTAGGGAGTCCTTTAAATAAGACTTCTAAACTCTATTCCTAACTTGTCCAACAAGACAAGATCTATTATAATAATATTTAATTCCTAACTTATTCTCCAGGATACCTATTAAATAATAATAATAATGATAATAATAAATACTAATCTACACCACATTCTGGGTTTATTTTGTTCATCCCATCACAAATTCTATTGCACATACTCAGAGACTACTATCTATTGCATTTCCACTTACACCACATTCTGGGTTAATTTTGTTCATCCCATCACAAATTCTATTGCACATACTCAGAGACTACTATCTATTGCATTTCCACTTAATAAGAAGGATTGCAATAGATATATTACTGCCCTTGCTAACTTCACTTACAAAGGAATCCAAATATTATTGCTGTACACCAGCTAATTACAAGCTCCTGTTTCATTTCTTGGTGATCAAGTATCTAATTAAGCAAAGAGCTTTCATTTTCTGCAGTAATCTTTTCTTGTGCTATCAAATGTTCTCTTATCCGGCTAACTACGTCAAGAAATCCCACAAAATCGTACAACTTCATGGCTGCCTCTCAAATTGTGGATGGTTTTTGTCCGAGCGACAAATATACTATCGACCTTTTAAGTATGCAAATCACGGTTTAACTTCCGTTTGAGGTGTGACACCTGAATAAGCGG